AGGAGACCGCCTACGAGGAACTGGCTAGCCAGGCTCGTGCACTGGTCGCTGAGTACAATGACATTCTGAAGCGATCCCTCTCTACCAAGATGCCCATCTAAGTCCCCCCCTCCCCACCCTCATCCCCAGCCCTACATTCACTTACGAAATGTTGTTATTCCCCTTTGTTGCATTCTCCGCGCGTTGATGGCTTAATTAAACAGGCGATTGGCTGGTCCACGTGAATAAGCTTACTTGCTTTCTTTGGCTACCCGTATGAACTGTCTGAACCAAGCGGCAGGTAGCTCCTAGTATCTATAGTGTCTGAGCAGTCTAAGCAGGTTAATTAGGTTAAACTCTAGTAGCTGTACTCTTTGGGACCGGTCCCTTGGGAGGAGAGAAGACAGTGGGAGGCCAGAATGGTGGGAACAGTTTATACTGTACAGAAGGAATGGAAGAATTGGTGCGCAGAATTTGATGCCCAGACTAGCGCAGTCCGGCTGCTAGGGCGCCGGCATCCGGAGTGTCAGAGCGAAGGCAGTCATCGCCGTAAGCCCCTGTCTGAGTCGGTCTTGAGAGCCAAAGACCAGATGGTATGAGGCCAGTCTACTAATTCACCCCTGTCATTGGATGGAGTGAGGTCAGCCTACTAAAGCGACGTTGCACGCGTACTTGGGTCACTGCGTGGGATCGAGCGTTGATGCAGGTTTTGGTCACCGAAGCCGAGCGTCCAAGATTGGCATCACGTGACCTTGTCTGTGGCGTCACGCCTTAGGAGGAAGCAGGACTACAGATCCACTACTCAGATAATCAGGCCAAATCCCAGGTTGTTAGAAAAGCAAAAGATATCAGGATTAGGGATGTATTGTGCACAGAATCTGTAGCGTCTAAGCAGTGGTTAGAACTGAGAGCACTACAGCCATCAGGTCGAGTCCTATGTTGTTGTGCACAGAACCCTGAGTTCCTGTCTCCGGCGGCAGTTGCCACTGGCAAGGTCAGGGCTGGTGTTGACTGCGTCCAGCCAGGCCTGAGAGGGAGTATGTGCATGTGAGAGAGAGAGGTGGTAGCTGCTTTTCCCTGACAGTGAAGCAAGTTCCAGTGGCGTGTTCAAGTGACCCTTTGGCGGCCGCAAAAAATTGGACGTGCGCGGGGAAGTCGATCAAGGGAGTTCATGTCAGTGAGTTGGAAAGCGCTCACTCCGAAGCTGCATGACGTGGAGGCAGCGGTCGGTGAACAAGGCAGTCGGACG